AGCATCGCCAAGGAATGCTGCCAGCACTCGCCCCTTGAGAGCGCACTGATGGTGCTGTTGTATGTGATTGTATCTGGCACCGTCGACCAGGTATCCATTAGCATCAGAACTTGTAATGCAGCTTGCCATGTCCTTAAGCAAGCGCTGATGGTGCTGTTGAATGTAACGACACTAGGCCTCAGTCTTGCCGCAACTAGGTCCGACAGTAGGCGAAGTGCCATTTCCCACCGTTTTCCCTTCTCACACGCAGCAATTACGCTGTTGTAAGCGATCACATCCGGCACTACTCGCACCCGGGGCATCGCAGCGAGCAGTTCGACCGCCGTCTGCCACTGGTCACCCTTCTGACACGCACTTATAGCACCGCTGAAGCTTATGACATCCGGCGCTATTCGGCAACACCGCAGAGCAGCCAGGAGGTTGAGGGCAAGCTGCCATTCTCCTGCTTTCTCACAAGCGCTAATCGCAGCGTTGTAGCTGATTACATCCAAGCGTAGCTCGGAACCTTGCATGTCGGTCAGCAGCTCAACCGCCGCCTGCCACTGCCCAGATTTCTCACAGGTGGCAACCGTGCTGTTGTAGCTTATAAGATTTGGCGCCAACTGGGCAGACGGCATCTTGGTCAAGACTTGGCAAGCCGTCTGCCATGCCTGTCCTGTCTGGCACGCATTGATTGCACTATTGTAAGATATCCGGTCTGGGAGAGAGTCTGTGCTCGGCATTCCTATCAGCACCTGGATTGCCGCCTGCCAATGTTCGCCCTTGTCGAAAGCACTGATAAGGCTACTCCGACTGATGACATTTGCCCTGACAGCAAACAAAGGCATGCTGTCAAAGACCTGCAGAGCCATGTACCACTGGCTCGTCCTTTCCAGCGTTGTGATCGCGCTGGTGCAGAGGACTACGTCGGCAGAAATCCGCAGAAGACTGAGATCCCAAAATAACAGGAGAACTGTTGGCCAGGCTCGTGCGTCGCGTCTGCACTGTGAAATCGCAGCAGTGCAGTGCACAAGCGAGACTTCAGGCTTGTCGCTGTGCATCTTGCGTAGCACTGTCGGTAGTATTTCCCCACCATGCCCACTGAGTTGTCTGCAGCCGTATACCTTCTTTTGCGAACAAGCTGGGCTTGGCAGTTGGTTGTGCACACGACGTTCATGCTGGAGGCTCATGTCAGATGATGAAAACAACAGGAAGCGAGTTCAGGGACGGAGAGACGAAAACCTGCGGGAGCAAGAAGGTTACAACATGTTGCAAGGAATGTCAGCAAATGTGCAAGCAGACTTGTGGAAACCGCGTGTATCTCCAGCGGAGTCATGCGGTACCCGAAGCTGAGGTTTACGGCATCACGTGCTGATCTGAGTCCTCTGCTCTGCAACGTGGCTTGTATTGCTTTATCTAGGGATGAAAGGATGCAAGAACTAGACTTATTTAGACGTTGGTGCCAATTGGATACATTCAGGAAGCCCTGTGTTCCGGTGGTAAACGAGCTGACAAGCAGGTCCCAACTTTCCCTACAAGGCTCCCCCTAAACTGTGTCACAACTCCGGTATGCCTTTCCGAAACAAGGAATCCCTCATCGCTGCAGCGCTTGATTGAAAAAGTGCGACACCTCCTTCGTTTCGCAATGTGTGTGTACGTATGTATACATATATATATATATAATATTTATTTATTTATTTATTTATTTATTTATTTCTATTTATATTTATTTATTAATTTATTTATTTCTTTATATTTATTTATTTATTTATTTACACATGTGCATGTGCACGCATGTGTGTGTGTGTGTGCGTGTTCCTGCTGAGGGGGGAGGCGGTTAAAGCGGCATGAAGTTCCACTTGGGCGGGCTGTCGTCGCTCGACTCTGGGACTCTCGAGGCACGTGTCGAAACCCAGAAGCAAGAGACTGGAAATGCAGAAAACCCACTTCACTATATGGCGCATATGGAAGCTTGCTCTACACACCTCCGGAGATTTCTGACCCCACTCAGCGTCTGAGAATCTGCAGTCCACAGCTCGCAACGCTTTTGGTCTATGGCAGAACTACTTGTCATGAGCCATCGCACATCAGCTTCTGCAGCGAGGCCAAGCCATCCACCACGTAAGCCTCCACGCATAGGCAGAGCCATGGTACAAGCACTGTACCATTGCAGAATGTTTGAGGGTCTCGCGCGGAAAAGCTGACGGTGCACGTCCGAATCATCAAATCGCCCTACATAGCTGAAGGGGATGAGGGATTTGCAGATATTGTCTGCAATAGCCTATAATTAGCAGTCTTCGGCATCTGTGCCGGCGGCCTCTTCCAGCGCAAGCTGTTGCCGGCCTTCCAAGATCGAGTGACATGTGGGATGGGAGTGTGAGAGAGTGCGTAACCTGCTAAAC